CATGTTGTCAGTTGTGACAAAAATAGCTGTAGGTTCGGTCATGAGTCTGATAAACTTAAACTTGATGAAGAAACGTTTGATGTTGCTCGGGTCGTTATTTGTCAGGCAAATTTTGTTTCTCCATGGACAGACAGAGGTCCGCTGCTTCCTTTGAAGAAATAATTTAATTCATTTACAAGTGATATTTATAGAAATATATTCTACACAAATTATATCGGAAGTTTAGTTTTTTAATGGTAATGTGACTTGTTTTAAAATAGAATAGAATGGATTCCATTTCAAGAAAAAGACATTCTGTTGGTCGGAATAATTCAAAGATCTTATTGTAATAAACTTGAAATTACTTGTTATGTCCAAACATTATTTATTGAATAATATTTGAAAGAAAAATTATTCAATAAATAATAGAAATAAACCATTCTTGTTATTCGTTTGTAAATGTTGTAAATTCCAATTAATTTAATTGACTATTTCATTGCAAAATAAATGATTCAACTATAATCAGAGCCATATGTCACTCCTTGTTGAATAACAAAGAAATACCAAGAATTAATAGAAATGATTAAGTATTTTTATTTTATTCTTATCTTTATATATGTAAAATATAAAAAAGCAAATCAGGTGTTTAAGGAGATTTAAACTGATTTTTTCTGACTTGCGGCAAAAGAGTCTTTTTCTTCCAACTTTTGGAACCATGAATTATAAATTAATTTATAGTAAAAATGAGCTATACACACTTCTCTTTCAAGTTTGAAATTGGAGACTAAAACTCTAAAAAAATACAAAATGAGTTTCATCGAAAGCCTTGGTTTCCATGCTCCAACTACTTCCGCTGGTTCTCCAAGTAAAAAGTTGTGGAACAAGACGTGTGTGAAAGTGATGAAGCGTGCCACAAAGTGTTTCCAAGAACTGCGTGTTGAGGTATCCAAGCACGACCTTTCTCCAAAGTCCGTACAAAAGATAACCGAGCAAATCGAGAAGATACGCGGGACGTTAATGACAAACCCATACCTTGAAGAACAGTCACCTGAAGACATTTCAACATGTCTAGTTGCTTTGTTAGAATCTTTAATCGACTATTTACTGAAAGCCGAGTCTGATGACACTACAAGTGATTTGTATAACATTATTGATTCGCTGATTACATATCCAGGATATCAAGCATTCCTTTACGACGAGTTCCCCCCTCAAGATTTGAAACCTGAAATGGCTACTATGTTTTGCAATTACTTCTCTGCACTCATTCGAACTGGACTCCTTTTAATAAGTGCACTGAGTTCTGCTCAAATTCTTGAAACAGTCAAAAACATGAAGGACAAAGTCAAGTTCAAGAAACTGTCGTCCTTCCAATTTGTGATGACTGCACCCGCTCTTGAAACATGTCAATACGAGGCAGTCGGTAAACTTTTGGCGTCAGTCTGTTTGCGTATTCCCTCAATGCTTAGGGATTTGTTTGAAGCGGCTTCTGGTAAGCCAATTCAAGTCTGTCGGAACATCCATTACATCTCCGTTTGGGACACTTTCTCAAAGTATTGTATTTCACAGAACAAGACGTGTCAAAAGTTTGTCGAAGGTATTAATGGCGTCGATAACAAGTGGACATTACACTTCTCTGCTAACTTCCATTAGCTTATTTCTTCTATTGTGAGTATATCACTCATTTATTGAAGTACTTCGATCACAAATCAGACCAAT